AAGGCTTGTAAAACCAGAAAAAGAAAGAACAATATGTAACAGAAACTGTATGGCCTGCGAAGCTAAAATATGCACCATTTGGCTCTACACTAGTGGCTAATGACCTTCATGTCCAGATCCAAACACTTTTCAAGGGCAATGGCTTTCAGAAATGTCATAGGGCCTGTGGCTCAAACACAGGGAAATGAAACTCTGTTCCTGTGCTTTAGAGAATCCGGAAGATGGGGAAAGGCAGCGGCCTGGTGGGGAGCTGGGCCCATCACTTATACCTGAAGCAGGCAGGGCCCTTGACTCTGTTCTAAAGGTAGAAAGTGAGGCCCTGGATCCAGAGTCTGTGTGTTCTGGTCCTGCCTTTGGAAATGTGATGAGTCCGTTTCTGGCTGTGTCCTCCTTGACAGTCAGCATTCACAAGAATAGATTCTGAAGGCTCTTTGAAAGGGAGAGCTCTAAGAAGCCCTGGCCTCCTGACTTTATCTAGGAGGGAGCCCAGCCTTGCATCTCAATTTATTCTTTTTCCTGCTGTAGACACGCCTTTCAGCACTTGAGGGATCTAGATTGAGTGGGCGATAAAGAGCCTCCCTAACAAGCTTAGGGCAGGGCTGGGCCAGGCTTGAACTGAGACAGAAGCCTGCCCGATGGGTCTGAGAGGAACTGCAAAGTTGGCAGTTTTAAAAATAAAAAATTATTCTTTTTTTTCCCCTTTGAATGCCCCATGGCCAGGTGTCCCAGCCCTTGGGTTTCCCCAAACCCTCTTTCTTCCTAGGCGATAAAGAGCCTCCCTAACAAGCTTAGGGCAGGGCTGGGCCAGGCTTGAACTGAGACAGAAGCCTGCCCGATGGGTCTGAGAGGAACTGCAAAGTTGGCAGTTTTAAAAATAAAAAATTATTCTTTTTTTTCCCCTTTGAATGCCCCATGGCCAGGTGTCCCAGCCCTTGGGTTTCCCCAAACCCTCTTTCTTCCTACTTCCTCTCTCTCTCTCTCTCTCTCTCTCTCTCTCTCTCTCTCTCTCTCCTTTTTCTCACCAGTCTTGGTTTCCAAAATGTACCTTTCTTATAATTATCAAACACATCAGTTCGGCATCTTTTATTTTCTGATCTACCCCCTTTTCTCTTCTTGTTCCACTCTCCCCTCTAGGCTGTTTTTCAAAGTTTGCAAAATCTTTTATACAAATCTCTCTCTCTCTCTCTCTCTCTCTCTCTCTCTCTCTCTCTCTCTCTCATCGCCCTTGGCTTCTGTATACACAACTGCCCTTAGTATAATCCAGTGTGCCTCATCTAAAAATCGAAATGTACAAAACAAAAACAATTTGAAAGGTAAATCTTCCCTTTGTTAAAAGGAATTTCCCCAGCCCTGGCTGAGCAGCTCAGTTGGTTATAGCATCTTCCCCACATACACCTAGGTTGCAGGTTCGATCCCGGGTCAGGGCACATCACATACAGGAATCAACCAGTGGATACATAAATAAGTGGAACAGTCAATTGATGCCTCTCTCTCTCTCTTTGTTTCTCCCCACCCCCTTCCTCTCTCTAAAATCAATTTTAAAAATATTTTCCATCTGAAAGACTAGTAATCTCCCCCTCTCTCTCTGCCTTATGTTTGTCACTTTCTACATTACATTATAGACCCTAATTGGCTACAGTCAGATTTATTTCTGTATTTGCAGATCTGGTGGCACAGTGGAGTGCATGCCCTTGCTCCCATGCTGGATCATAAAAAAATTTACTTTCCCACTAGCTGGATTGGCTCAGTGGATAGAACGTCAGCCTGCAGACTGAAGGGTCACGGGTTTGATTCCAGTTAAGGGCACATGCCCGTGTTGTGGGCTCGACCCCCCAGTAGGGGGCGTGCAGGAGGCAGCTGATTCATGATTCTCTCTCATCACTGATGTTTCTCTTCCTCCACTTCCCCCCCTCTCTCTTTTTCTCTATCTTCCTTCCTCTCTGAAATCAATCAATATATATATCCTATATAATAAAAGCCTAGGTGTCATCACGCCCTTGTGTGCCGCTGCCACAAGATGGCCACCACAAGATGGCCATATGCACAGTGGAGGTGGGGCCCGTTGGCCACTCTGCACAGTGAGGCCTGCAGGTCCCGTGGCTCTGTGCAGTGCGGAGGAGGCAGGTCACAGCAGGGGAGGGCAGTTGTGGGCGATCAGGCTGGCAGGGTAGGGCAGTTGGGGGTGATCTGGTCGCAGGGGAGAGCAGTTGGGGACGATCAGGCCAGCAGGGGAGCAGTTAGGGGGCGATCAGGCAGGTAGGCAGGCGAGCGGTTAGGAGCCAGCGGTCCTGGATTGTGAGAGGCTGTCCCAGATTGGAGAAGGTGCAGGCCAGGCTGAGGGACACTCCCCTCCCGTGGGAAAATGCTGCTATAAAACATGCCTGTTGTCTAGAAGGCACAGTTCTTCCTCAGGGCCACAGAATTCAGTCTCCGAGCAGCAGGAGATATCATATTTGAATACAATAGCACACCAAGTGCTGTATGTAACACAAGGAATTTTAACACCACCTACAGTGTTTAAAGTCAAGCTTCAAATTTATGGCCACAGGAAAAAAGAAAAAAATGAACATAAAGCCTTCCCTGAAGAGAAGTGGGGGAATCCATACCGCCTATGAATAGATTTGTTTATGGATTTCAAAGTGAACAGGACAGATTGTCTTTGGGATAAGAAGGAAAGGCGGAGGAAGAGTGGTCGAACAGGGCCAAACAGGTTCTGAGCACAGAGCGGCAGAAAATGCGCAGGTGGCTGTTGATTTCATGCTGTGACGTGATAGTTAGCTTATTTGCCATCTTGTCTTTATAACCAACTGTTAGCATGCTCCTTTGAATTAAATTTAAAAAAAGGCAAAGCAACCCTAAACTCTCAGGCCCCTACTTATACCTGGAGTGTAATCCATTGAGGCACTGCTTTGGATTATACTATGTCTTCACATTTTTCTTCATCGAAATTCAACTAGACAGTGAGCACGGAACTCCATGCTGAGGGGTGCAGAGGTGAATGCTCTGGTGGCCTAGACAGCAATGGACATACACACAAATACGTGACCCCAGAGAGCCTCTAATGAGGAAAGACTCTTAGGAAGTGGTCATTATCCCCAGTCATGCAGGTTCGTCCCTGTGGAGATGTGCTCCTGTTGGGTTTGCCCAAGGGCACACTGGGACAGCAGGAGCCGGCAGGTGGGTTACAGGGGTCAGGTGGGTTACAGGGGTCAGGTGAGACAGACTCTAAAAATAGGATAAGAGGCGGCCCAGCCCAGGGGGAAGAAGGAAGGAGATAAGAAGAGCCATCCGAGAGGAAAATAAACTACAGTTGGCAGGGAGAACTGACTCGTAGGGGTTGGGGCTTAAAGAGGTGCATCTGAGGGCAGGGAGTGGGTCAGGGCAGTCCTGGCCTGTCAGCAAAGCTAATCTTCATCCCAGTCCCACCAGCATTTCCCCGTGACCGTGGCCAGCTGTTGAATCTTTCTGGATCTCAGGTCTCACTTTGGTGGAATCTGTATGATAAGAACCTCGGTCTTACTGCCCTCACCAAGTGGTTTAACCTGCTGCATAAAATAATCAAAGAAATGGGAGGATGAGAATTACTCTTCACCACATCCCCGTCTTCTCTCAGGGAAGCAAGGCAGAAAAGGAAGGGGGGAAAGAAGGGAAAAAAAGAAAATGAGCAAAGAAGGGAGAAGGGAAGGAGAGGCCAGGATGAGACTAGAAGGCGGGTTAGGAGACGGGAGTAAAAAATGTGAAAGTAAAAGAGATGGCAGCCTGGGCTGGAGGCCAGGGAGGCCCCTCACCACGCCCTGAGAGGCAGATAACTGGTCATCTAGGATCCCACCCAAGACAGATTAGTGAAGTCAATTGCCCTGAGTCACAGCTCTAACCTGAGGCACCTGTAAATGAGAAAACAGAGACAAGATGGACCCATGTACTTAAGGTAGGGGAGACAAAAAAATTGCAACTACTCTTTAAGATGTTTTGAAAATTGTGAAGAACGGCTCTGTGCCATTTTCTAGGTTCTCGGATTGGCACAGCTGTCTGTTCTTTGGAATATTTTCCCTGGGAAAGGGGTGGGGACAAGGGAATGGGCTTTCTTACCTGCCTAACCTGGCCTTGTGTGTGGTTCTGAAACCAAAGTCAATTCTTCCTTCTCTAGATGCCCTTGGTCTCCTTTTAGTGAGTAGGTTTGGCGGTTGCTAAGTAGCACGACTTGCTTCTTTCTCAGACTGTCCTACTCACAGTAGGTGTGTGCTGCCCACAGGGGCTTCGGACTCCAGCAACCTGGGTAGTTTCTGTAAAGCCAGGCGGGGGATCCCTGGACACCCCCTTTATTGGTTAACCCCGGTGGTACCAAGAGGCACCTGACACTCTGGGTATGCTAATAATTCGGAGCCAGCAAGTTTCTGTTATCCTCCCGTTGTAATTGTTAACTTGAATGGAATGCAAAACTTCTGGTTTGGAGCAGAGTTGGTTTTTAACTGTGAATTTACTTGAGGGATATGGAAAATGGGAGTGCATTCTGCTTATGGTGGAAGATGGTTTATGGAAAGCATGTGTGAATTGCAGTGGCTCTGATCAATAGAAAACGATGGTAAATGTATAGTTACTGCCGTGTCTACAGACTCACCGGTGAACTGAACCCTTTACCAACTCTTGCCTTGGACACTTTTTTAGTTTAGCAAGCTGAGACTTGCTTGGGATTAGAACAATGAGCTTATCATAAGGCCACTTTAAGAAGAAGAAGGAAAAAACCCCCACACAACACATATACAAAACGCTAACACTTCCAGTGTCAGGGTTTACTTCTTCATGCCTTCCTGTCCGCTTACCCCCCCACCCCTTGAAATCCGCCCCCCCTGCTTGTTAATAGAGCCCGCCTGTTCATTTGCATTATTGTACATCACAGGCTGTCTTTGCGACCATTATATTGTGTTCTCTCTATGGTGTTTGCTCTGAGGGTGGGACACAGGCTGTTTAGTGTCTTGTAAAACATTTACCAAAAGCACTGAGCCATGGTTTTGAAGGGCATTCCCTTGCCAGAGTGTGGGAGGAGAGAGCAGCCGCCGAAAGAGCTCCAGGTGTTTGCAGGTACTTGTCTCGTACTTTAGTATTTAGAAATGCTTAAAAATTCAGATTGCATGCGATCCGGGTCCCGTTCTACTGGAGGGGCGGGGGCGGTGAGGGGAGGGAAGGGGCCAAAGCAATTTCTTCGCAAGATGTGTGTTTCGGTGGCTCATGGTCCCCGCAGAGTTGTGATCATCGGTTTCAGGCAAATGTTTTCAGTTTTACTAGAGAGACTAGCATGTCAGGGAGAGTGAGTTAACATCTACCTGCGCCTGAGGTTTGTCAGTGTCTGGATCGGGTGTTAGCGGCGTTTGCTTGAGCACAGAATCCAGGACCAGGTGTGGCGTCCCTGGGAGGCGACGTGTAACCTTGTGATTTGCACTTCAGTGTGCCCCGTGACGCATTCCATTAAAAGCTTTCGCTAAATGGTGGCTCTGGTTTCATGAAAATACTTTTAAACTTTCTTTCCTCCCCCACCCCC